AAAATTGGTCAGATTTTTTAGAAATAAATAATTTTAATAAAAATAAAACTTTCCATGTTGAAGTCTGGCAAATATCCTGTCTGAATGACTCAGAAATCCAGGATCGGGGACTTAAAGAATTTAATCAAAAAAATTTCTCGAGGGGGAACATGTTCCGGACGGCACCCGTAGAAGCTTGCGCCTTCCGCGCTCCTTTAGGAAATGGGTCAGTATTTATCCTAGATCCGCGCCTGATGTCCATTTTACCTTACGCGGACCTTGAAAAGGGGATAGCCTTCGAGCAAGCTCTCAATAATGGGACCTGGAGCAAGAGAAGTCACTCACGAGGTGAGACGCCAGAGCGAGGGGCATAGAAACAAAGGAGAGCTCCCCTTTGCTTGACTTTCCTTCGCCTTTCGCAGCTCGCTGAGTGCTCGCTCGTTCTCTCACCACTAGAAATGGAGAGCTTGCTCGCAGGCTGAATCTGGGAGTTGTTCGCTTACGGGTGGTTAAAAATCCAGGCTTCTTATTACAGTTTGGTGTTAGAAGGAGGGGTGTCCCCAGGCATGTTTTGTAGGTTTCCGCTACATGTGAATTACGTCGTTTGACCTAGGTCTAAGCGATTGCACAGGAATTTGCACAATATATTTGACGTTTTGTCCACACGGGACGGCTATTTTTTCTTCTGCATACGAACGTTTTTACTCTGGAGACCGTTATAGGTTATAAATAGTTCCGAGTATTAAGGCACGCAGTAGTCAGATACACGTGCCGCGTGAAATTCCTTGTCAGGACATCGACATAGAGCTGACACAGGGTGCTCCTTATTCCTTCCGAACCTCTCCTTAGCTCGAGGCTTAGCAGCTTTCTTTTTCTTCTTTTGGCTTTTTGTTTGTTTGTTTGTTTGTTTGTTTTTTCACAGAAATGGGATGATATCTAATTTCCACCGTTCTTGCTTAGAGTTGGCTAGTGGTGGTACACCATGGTAAGCGCAAGGATCAAACTGAGGTTTTTAATTGTCCAGTGACAAAATGCAATTCAATTCGATTCCTTATTTTAAACTATGTAGGACATTTGCAGAAGTTATATTACAAATAAAAAAAGAAAAAATGATAAAAGGTAATCATTAGGCTAAAAAGAAGTAATGTACATGTGTGTGCAGTGTCCAAATTAGCAGAGCTTTCTGGTTGGACACTACCACGTTCAGATAAATGGCGGCAGGGAAAGATAAGATAAAAGATCGACAAATTGCATCGGTGTTGGAACACGCCGAGAAGAAGTAAGATAAAGTTTGATTGATCAAAAGATAGTATTTCCATTGTTTCTTAAACCTATATTGTGCTAAATATACAATGCATGCAAACACTGTGAATAACTTTTCCTTTAAGCGTACGTATTACTAGAGATGATACAAAGCGTATCTGAAAGACAGAGAGCTCATTAGTTAAGGGGTGATGTATTTCGGAGTTGCCTGTTAAATTATGGGAGATATTATTTTTTTCATGATTTATCACAGAAATGTATGTCTGAAAAATGAGTGCACGAGTTTTCATCTTGCACGGTGGCTCCGACATTAAGCAGTTAAGCGAGGTTTCATACTCCGAAAAGGGGTGGGTGTATTTTATCTCTTGAAACCACGAATGATTCAGATAAACCTGATAAAACAAAAGCGTCACATACTTCTCGCTGGATCTGTTTATTATTTTCTAAAAAAGTTGGCACGATTTATACTCAGCTAGCTACAGTAGAATCTCGATTTAACGAACTTCTATAAAAGGAAGTCCTCGATAAAACGAACGATTTTCTTTACCCCAATAATCGTAAAATACGTGAAAAACAACCTCGATATAACGAAACCTCGTTGTAGCGAACAAATTTTGTCATTTCCTTGGCGCGTCGTTAAATCGAGGTTCCATTGTATGAGTTATCAGATTTGAACAGGCTAATCAAAGATCCTCAAAATTTATCTGGTATTTTATACATTAATTGTTAACATATTTGAAAGGAGTATTAAAGGATTTGATGGAATTTAGCAAATTAACTACTTGCAAGATTAGTGATATGGGTAAATTAGCAACAACAAACCCCCAAACATCGTTTTAGAATAAACCGCAAGGTGTTGCCTGATCCATGCACTGACACACAAATTATACATTCTTCTCACATGACCTCAGTTTTATGTTTCTTGAAGTAGGTTTACCTTCGCTAAAATTGAGGATTACAACTTAGATAAAATTACAAACGAAAGGGAATTTTTTGAACTTTTCATATAAATGTTTTTTCTGGTATGTTACCATTAAATTAAACTCCACGGAAGAGCTTAACGCTGTGCATCCTTGGCTTGCCGCTGTCAAATAAAGACGGGATTTTTCAAAGCAAAAAATGATAGTAGAACTATTACTTTTGGAGAAATCGACGTGAGAAACTATTAGGCCACTAGTTCTTCAAACAAACATTATAATTTTCCAATCGATGCCCGTGACCTTCTCATTGCGTTCAAATTGTGATATGTTCGGTTAACTGAAAATACATTTTCGACAAGTTTGGCTCATTTCTGCCAATTATACCTAAAAACATTCTTAATATTTATACTCCTAAGAATATATATTTGTATTTAAAAAGATCGGCGGGGAAAAGAAGACCGACAAGTAGATCTGCTTGTCAGTCATGTTTTCTTCGCCTTTCTCATTAAAACTTGAATAATTATTTTGGTGTTTAAAAATCGCTTTTCAAAGTACCTCAAGTTCTTTAATATTAATTGTTGCCAGTTTCTCACTCGAAACTAATAAACGTTTTTGAAGCTTTCTTGAAGCCGTAAAAGAAAGCAAGATTTGAAAAGAAGATGTAGTTATCATGAAGTGCGTATGAGCGTTGAATAGAGGGAAGCTATGTAATTAAAGCTTTAAAGAAACAAAGCCGCCCAACGATTATTTGACACGGGGCATACAAACTTAATCACAATAGGACACGCTATGAAAATGCAAATTAAGGGCGTTTTTCGCGCGTGAAACTATAGCGACTTGTGGGCGTCTTGCGATAAATTGGACCCAAATTTGCATGTTTATGATACTGTGATGCTTTTCGATCAAGATACACTTAAAAGTAAAAACGAGTTCTTGAGGGCTTAGCTTTTGTTTTGGGCAAGAGGGCCATCATACTGACAGAACGGAGGTTCTAGCTGGGAGGAAGTCAAATATTACTATGTCAACTTTAATCAACTCAATGCTATACTTAGTTTATTCAAAGGTCTATTTCTGTTAGAAGTAATATCTTGGTTTTTTTTTTTTGTTTTAATCTGCTTCAAACTGACAATGAATAATCCAGAATGTTGTACGTTAACTATAAACAGTTTACAATTCTAAAAAAACGTAGACTGAAGTACACAAACTGCTAAAAATTTAAACTTAAATTCATTCGAATCTATCAATAAAGGCACGCAAATTTTCTTGTCATATTATAACTAATTTCAGTTTATATGCCTGTTAATTTTTTTTCTCTCTCGAAACAAATTTCAAGGTTTGTTTGAGGAGTCGAACTAAGCAATTCTCTTGTCACCTTATTGCAAAAAAAGAAAGGAGTCTTTTTCTAAGTTGTTTTATAGCGTTACAGATTGTAATTATGGTCATAAATTTATCTGCGGCTTCGTAGAGCGGAAAAATTCTCACTGATATGACCTTATGAATGGGTAATATATTCCATTTTGCTTCAACAGTTATTTTTGTTGACGAAGGGTGGTCTCATTAAACCGCAACTCGGCAATGGTTGTGTGCGTGCATGTAGTCATTAACTGTGTATCGAGTTTTTACTCGCGCTACGCGAGTGTGTGTTGAACGTTTTCAGTCTGAAAATTACTCGAGCTAGTTGTAGCGGGATTGTTCGGTGGACTATTTACAGAACACCTGGTGTTACCATTGATAGCTATCTTTTTGTGCCTATGGGCAAGTAGCTGGCATAGATACTGTTTATGCAAATAAACAAGTGCACTATGATTCTGCTGGTGAATTATTGTATTGTCTCTGTGATTCTAAAGGAAAACTTTCTTCCTCCTCATCCGAGAGTAGTACATCTCGCAGCTGTTCTTGACGATCGTCATGATGAGGGTCAATTTTCCCACAACAAAGATGACATGCGACGAAGAGAACAAGCGCCACGCATACATAAATAAACAAATGCCAGCCGAAAGCAATCGACAAAAATTCTACATTGCGAGGACTATTCTCCCATGCGTTCGGTCCGTAGAGAACGAAGGCGATCTGGAAGAACCAACTGCCTTGGACTCCTGTTAAAATAGCCCTTATTAAGCTAAAAAGTAATTGATGTCGCCTTAAAAATGACTCCACTAAAACTACTGAAGCAGTTATGAAAATTAAAATGTAAAGAATGATGTGCAAACGCATACTGATTTTTGAATGTCCTTGAAGATGGAAATAAAACAAGAAACCCTCGATCCAAAAGCATGTAGACAGGATAATGTAATCGATCCTTGGTGGTAAAGGCGTTTTACCATGCCATAGGACAAGATCTATTATACCAGAAAGACTAAAGAAACAGTACATAACTGTGTGACTATGATTATTAATATGTTCGTCAACGAATTCTCCGTTCTCGTCGATCAAGATCCACGAGCCGTCGAGAAACAGTTCTCCAACAACGCCCACGATGCCCGACAGGACTTTGATGATAGGTTCTACCGGGATTCTAGACAAACATCGCCCAGGACAGGGGTACCACACGGACGATTCTGATTTCAATCGAACATATGAAGAACCGGGCGACCGAAGCAATCCGCGCCTGGACGACAGAGTTTTTGAATTGTTGCGGGCTTGAAGAAGCGGGCCCATGAACCACCAGATCGATAATAACAAAAGCATAGCTCCAGGAACCGCGTGACCAAGAAAATCTCCCATTATTTTCTCAACACCAGTACAGTTCCGGACAGTCTTGTCTAACAAGCTCCGTTCGGGTGGAGGGACAAAAGAACTACAGCCCACGGTTACTCTCACAGCTCACCACCATTAATATCACTTTTTTTCTGAGAATCATCCGATCGTTCCTATTTAAATGCCTTTTTACCGACTAATGTTCCACTTTCTCCAGACACACGCGATAGAATAATCGCAGGTTCTTCACTACCGCACAGATAAATTCCACAGTATCTTACATTTGATTGGCTCTCATTAAGTGGAGCTGCCAATCCCATTTGGCAGCCTCCCTTGACATTATTTGAACAAAACTTCCGCTAGAGAAACTGTTACGCCGTGAAAGAAGATTGTGTTAAACTTTTTGGTGACAAAACAAGAAGTTATTAAAATTACCGCTCCGAGTACTTGTCAAATGATAAAATTTACTGCCATACAGAGTGCATCCGTTCGAGGATCTGAGCATCGAGCATTTGTTAAAATGAGAAACTTGACCTGATCATATGATGTATCGCCTAACTTTTAAGCAGATACCGTCATGTTCCAGGTCACGTTCCGCAAGTAACGACCCCCGAAAGTAATGACTCTGATGACTCTTTGAAAGTAAGGATGAAATTTCACAAGTGTTAGCAAATCGCGAAAGTAGCGACCCTGGGTCCAAAAACCTGAAAAACAGGACTCTCCGTTTAAGTAATTTCCCTTTTTGCAAGAAATAATAGAAATCAGGATAGATAAAACAAGCTATCCCAAAATGACCCAGGGTTTATTTTTAACGATGATAATGATCTTTGACATCCAAATTCGAAAAGCAAAACAATTCCAAGAAAACCCTCAAAGTTAAATACTTTTTTTTCAGCCAGTAAGTACTGTTACTAAATCAACAACAGTACACGAAACTATAGGTGTGGATTATGCTACGCCAAAAGTGACAAAATATCAAAGATGCAACTTTATAATTCAAATCCACCAATTCACTATCAAGATCGATAAAATTAACATCAATTTGCTTTTTGAATGTGTCAACATTGTAAAATTTACTTTCAATTCCCACGTGTTTCATGTCATGTATCAAGAGACACGTGTTCTAAATCAAGATGCATGTTTTTTAAATCAAGAAGGGAGACGACAATTTTTGATCAGTTTTGTTCCCGAGGGGGACTGAAACCGAGCACACGGGTTGGAATTCAAGGTTTAAAAGTGTTGACGGGCCTGCACGACTCCTGCAGTTCGCAAATAGATTGGTCTTAAAACCTTCATAGTTTAGCTCTTACTTGAGTGTTTCTGAGATATGGTTGGTTCTGTATAAGGTGCCATTTCCCCATGAGTATGTTCTTGAGGTTGGGCAACGCAGGGTGGTATTGCGTTACAAAGGGTAGTATTTTCTTACTTGCATTTTTGTTTCTCTGTTCTAGTGCTGTCTTTCTGTCTGCGAAAATGACCTCTGAGAGATGTCTTTCTACAGTTGTAGCTGGGTAATCTCTATTCTTGAGGCGTGTTGAAAAATTCCTCATGTTTTCTTCAAAAGTGATTTCAGAGGAATTTGTTCTAGCCTTAAAGCTTCTCCTTTGATGAAGCCTTTTGTGACGCCTGGTGGGTGACACGTATTGGATTGTTTCTGTAGGCTTGAAGTGTGTTCGCACGCAAAGGATAGAATCCTTGTTGAATCTGACACCTTTGTACCTTTCGTGTCCAAGAATGTAGTCTCTGTTTCTGATATTTCAGCCGTGAGAGAATTTGATTGTAGGATGGAAGTTGCCTGTAGAAGGAATTCTTCTATCGTTTCTGCTTGTGTCCCATACTGATATGACGTCATCGATATAAACCTTTTCCAAGAGATGCTCTGTCTGAATAAGTTCTTTTTCTGTTTGGCCATAAAGATGTTAGCAAAGGTTACGGCCATTTTCGTGCCTATGGCTGTTCCATGGGTTTGAAGATAATCTTTCAAGTTAAATTGGAACGAGTTTTCTAGTAGTATCAGACTAAGCAGTTCGCTTAAAAACCTGGTAGGGACTGGAGGGTTTCCTTGGTGAAATTCTTCGTATGCAAGGCATACAGTGGTAATACCCTCTCGTTGTGTGTGTGTGTTTTTTTTTTTGTATTGTGACGTCCATTGAAACATGTATGGCACCTTTAGGCAGTTTAATCCTCTCGATGAAGTTAATAAAGTCTGTCGTATCTTTAAGATACGAAGCTTGTAGTTGTGCTATTGGCTGAATAAGGTGGTCAACGAATGCTGAGATCCGTTCTGTAGGTCCGGAACACCCTGATATAATAGGTCTTCCGACAGGTGTCGGTTTGTGGATTTTAGTAAGTGTGTAAAACACAGCCATTTAGCCGTCATTTTATCAATGTGGCCGTCTGAGAGCAGTGTTTTAATAAGTTGTTGAGCTTTTTTGGATGTAGTTTCAACCATTGGTTTGTCTAGAAGTCGGTAGTTATTTAAATCATCAAGCAGAACCTGACCTTCGTTTAGTTTGTCCTGTCTGCTCATCAATACGGTGGTGTTTACCTTTATTAGATTTCTTAAGAATAATGCTTCTGTTGGGCGATAACTCTTTGAGAGCTTAGCGCTTTCCCGTAGATATATTATCTTTTGGCTTGTCAAATTACTTGCGAGCTCTAATTTTACCTCCTCTAGGAAGGTCTCCAGAGCTACAGATAGTGGGACTGATGGTTCCCAGTCCGACTTCACGTGGAAGGGATGAGGTTCGTTTTCTTCCCCGTGAAAAATATACTGTAGTCGCATTCGTCTCGCAAATTGATTGAAATCAGCGAGAAGCTGGCGCCTGATAAGATTTTCTTTTGTCACGGTTGTAGGGATAAACGGTAGACCACGCGATAGTAGAGTAATTTGCTTATCTGTCAGTTGTTCATTTGACAGGTTTTTGATATACTGTTTGCGTGACTCAATGGCGTCAAAAAAGTGCTTTTTGTCTTTGATTTTTCTCCGCTCTTTTCTTTTGCGGTTTTTGGCCGCTTTGTTATCTCTGCGGTTTGCGTTCCCTTTCCCCTTACTTCTAAGGAGTCTGATAAGAGGCAAGAGTAAGATTCACTTTGTTTATTCGCACACACTTGGTCTTCAATTTACATTGTCATCTTTGTTGACAGTTTTCTTTTTAGCCAGTGATTGCGTTTTTTGGTGAGACGTCTGCTTATTATTCCTATATTATTCCTTACAGTATTCCTGCGAGATTTATACTGTTCGAGTTTACGAAGCTTGTTTGTTAATCTTTCTGCACGCCTGTGGTGATATTTCACCAGCGCTTCTGCGAGAGCCTGTTCCTGATTTCTTTCTGATCAAGCCTATTTCGTTCTTAAATCGCCGCCTCAGTTCTTCGTCGGGTGTTGACACGTTTGAGATGTGTTCGAGATGTGTTAACTCCTTGTGTTGCTCGAATGATTCTTCTGACAAGTTCTTCGATTCCTTCCTCCGCCATGTCTAACGCGGGAGGGCGGGAATGGGCAAGAATGGGCGGGATTCTTCATGGAGCAGTCCATGGAGCATGGCAGATTTTTCGGTTTCAGTCCCCCTCGGGAACAAAACTGATCAAAATTGTCGTCTCCCTTCTTGATTTAAAAAAACATGCATCTTGATTTAGAGAACGTGTCTCTTGATACATGACATGAAGCACGTGGGAATTGAAAGTAAATTCTACAATCTTGACACATTCAAAAAGCAAATTGATGTTAATTCTATCGATCTTGATAGTGAATTGGTGGATTTGAATTATAAAGTTGCATCTTTGATATTTTGTCACTTTTGGCGTAGCATAGTTTACCCTTTAATATAATGCAAAATTAAGGTAAAAAAAAAACCACTGCAAAAACCATGTACGATCTATCTTGCTCAACGTCGGATCCAAAAAGATTGTGATCAGTCAAAACTGAAAACGTTACAGTCAAGAAGACTTTTGCAGGGACTTATCAAACAACGTGAAATAGAGTTTAGTTGTGATATTTCGACTGGCCAATACCAGTCTTCGTCAGGTTTATTGAGATATCACGAATTTTCAGAAATATATATGAAGTAAAATAATGACCGGAAATTACATATAATATGACGTGGTATGAGGTGGCTTCTAAAAAGACAAGGTAACAAAAAATAAAAGATATACTATATATAGTTACAGTTCATCACGTTTATTAATGCCCAGAGGCTCAGTTGTCTTAATTCTGTGGATAAGGTGGGCTTCGCGTGCTTTCCTGAAAGAATCACGCCCATTTTTAAGTTTTTCAATAGGAATCAAAAGCATACGATTGTCGGAATGATTACTGGTTAGAAAGTGTTCTGAAACTGCAGTATGGACGTAATTGCCAGCAGGGTTGAGTATAGGTCGTCTGTGTTCATTAAAACGGTCTTTGAGGTGACGTTTAGTTTCTCGAATATATTGTAGATTGCACAGGTGACATTGAATCAAGAAGATAACATTGATGTGGTGGGTCTCACCGGTAGAAGGAAAAGTGTATTGATTACGGCCATGTTCAATATAGGGACAGGTGGTGCAATTCCTGTTGTTGCACCGAAAGGAACCAGGGGTGGCTCGGGAGTTACTGGTATCGGTACTGTTAGTTAACTGGGCTCTAAGGATGTCGCTAATATTTTTACAACGGCGATAAGCTACTAACGTAAGGTTTTTAAAAACCGTGATTTCAACAACGATCTGATGAGTACAGCACGTTAAAATGCTTGTGAATGATAAGCGCAGTTTGCAAGGTCAGGTAATGTTGGATTATAAGTAATGACGGAAGGGGTGGTTACTGGGTGGTTTCATCAGATCGTTGTAGAAATGTTTTTAATTCGTCCTCTAGTCTCTGTCCCTTACTGCGCATGCTGGCTTGACGGGACGAGGCCGCTGGTCAAGGGGAACGAAGACGCTGGCTACGAGGGTGGTCACGAGCTCAGATATTAGTTAATGCGCATGCTCCTATCAAAGATGGTACCGTTTTCAGTTAATTTTCGCGTGAACGGGCAAAACCGACTCAAAAACGCAACGTGTGGACGCGGATTTGATTGAAACGGGGGAAAGCTCTCCGTTTATAAACAAAAACAGATACGTATGGACATGGCCATGGTTGTTCCCTTCCCGCAAATAATCAAAACCATGTACCAATAAATGAATGCAGAAAAAGGAGAATACAACTTCCGTATGCTTTGAAATGCGTTTAATCATTTACCTGTATGGTATAATATTAGAGGTCGGCTTTTAAGATAGTGCAATGATAACTATTATAACGATAATTTATATTTTAACATTGGAAGAAAAAGAAGCATATAACCCTGAAGCGTGTAACTCTGTTAGAGAACCAATCACAATTTACTTCCTAATAAGGAATTACTGATACGCGAGACTGTAGCGTGAATGCTTAGGAAAATCTTGTATCGCGATGTAAACGAAGCGCTACAAAGGGAAATTACAGTCATACTCGCAGTCATATGCTTCTGAAAGAATTGACACTACATGTAAGCAACATGTACTGCAATGAAATTTTTTGGGTTCTTGCACTGCACACCGCCTCCATTTTCAGTCGGCCTGAAATTATTATAATTACATGCATTATTCTAGAAAATCTTCGTAATTTATCATCAATAGGACCCCACGAAACAGAGCCTCCTTTTATCTTATTCTCGATCGACTGCGCTAAAACCGAGCAAGTGAAATTAAAGAAAAGCTCTGCTAGCAGGTTGCTTCTCTAGCAGCTCAGATGGCCAAACACTGGCTACTGAAAACCGATACTGGTCAATGTTGGCATGTTATTAAAACCCAAGTAACTTAGCTTAAATTTGTTTTCATAAAAATGTCTTTGAATCTCTCTTAAAAACTTGAACAGTTCTTTGTAATAATAATTTTCACGCACTTTTTTGATACAGATTGTACCTCATTAACGGTGTCTTGTGACAACATCTGATTTTGTTTGCAGTTACATGCAATTTAACTTAGATAACCTCCTTTCTTAATTGTCATCACATTGCTTTGGGTGCCTAGACAATTTGGCCGGATGGATCAACCAAAAATTGCCAGCCGTGAAAGCGGTGTTATGTCTAGGGAATGGCTCTTAACGACAGCACCTCAGAAGTCATAACTAACCACCATCCAGAAAATATGGACCTGTAAATCTGTGTATGTTTTTGGAGGCACTCTAACAAATTAATAGCATAACTGCAGCAGGAAGGAATAGCAAGGAAAATTTGTGTAATTATTCTAAACTTCACGTTTTCACTGTGAAATCACTGTCCCCACTTCGAGATTAGGTTATCATAATAGTGACTCATAATACTATGACAGTTAAAATACTAAAATTATTTGCATCCCTTGAAAAAATGTCCTCGAGTCTACGATTTGATTGTTTTCTTCAAAATTCTCGAATCAAAACAAATAGCTGTTCACACAGAAAAGAAACAAACAAAAAGAAAATAAAATAGAAAGTAGCTGCAGCAGCTTGAGGACCACGGCTGACTCCTCTTTCTACCCAAAGAGTTTTATAAAGCATGGATGGCAATAAGGTTTATCATTCTGTTCTTTGAAGGTGCCTTTGTTAAGTTGCTTAAGGCAGAATGCGCACACAAAGTGCTCAGGGTGAAATTTACGATGCATGGCTGTAATACATCGGCCAGTGATGGGTTTTTGACAGCTGTAGCACAGAGTGCCACGTCGAGAATGGTAGTGCATCTCACAGTACGGCCGACCATCATGCTCAAAGAAACTCCCTCCAGGAAAAGCTTGATGACATTCCTGCAAAGGAGGAGAAGACCAAAGATTGACTTCGAATAATTTTCCAGCTGAATTTTCTGCGTCATAATGCGGTGAGGTCTCACAGTCTTACTTTCTGCACTAAAGAAGACATACATACATGGAGAATGCTCGTTTTCATTTTAGCCATCGCCACAAACACCTCGGGAAAAAAATACCCCCGCGATTTCCCAACAGGAGTCAAACTATGACTTTAAGACTGGAAAATCGAAAGGTGGCATATTGACGATGATATAAATGAGATGGTGTAGTTTCTAATCACCGTAAGTGAAAACATGTACTTAAATAATGTTGCATAAGTGCCTTTACCCACACACAAAATGCTCCTGTAGCTGAGTTATGACGGAGATATCAAACAATTTTAACCAGGGATCACTAACCATCATAATTTTCTGGTGATCCTTAAAACAAATTGATTTTGAATCCTTGCCATCTGTTGCAACATATGAGAGGAAACAGCGCCAGCGTCCAAATGTACACATAGTCTTTAACAACAAAATGGGCCCATTATTTTTGGAATTCAATGGATGCAAATCACATTTTAGCTTCTTGCAATGATAGCTGCAAATAGCTAGCCTGACATAGTCCCTTCAACACTGATGAGGTGACGTAAAAATTCCTGGTAAAGTGCAAAGCTGCAAGTATCATAATAACTCACCGCGCACACAAAGCATTCTGAGTGCCAGTGTGCACTAAGAGCAGAAATGTAGTTATCCATTATAGGCTGACCACACCCTCCGCAGCGAGGTGCAAACATAGCATAGTAATCTTCTCGGCAGAAAGGCTTGCCATCTCTCTCATGAAAACCAGAGTCACCAAATGGCCGGCCACAGCTGGCACATACAAAGTGTTCTGGATGCCAAGTCTGGTCAAGCGCTGTCACACAGGACTGCAAAAGAAGCATAAGTTAAATGTTTGCACTGATAACTCATAATTTTAACTCTTTTGTGAGACAAAGTTCTAAAATCTCATGCATCTGCTGCTGCTCCAATTTAACTGCAGGTTAATTTTGATTAAGCCTAGATTGATTCACAATTTCCTTTGACACCTAGCTCTAGTAGACAAACCAAATATTGAGAGTCAACCTAGGAAGGACAATTTTTAACCTGAAATCAAATTTGACCTGTAATATATCCACAAGGATGAACCTCTGAAGGGCCAGGATTTCATTTGAATGGTCACACCATACGATTTTGTAGACAGACTCAAAAGTTTGTATTCTATATGCACATGCCTTCAAACAAGAAACAAGAAAAATAAAAAACTTACATCTAGGATAGGACCACTACAGTAAGCACATCTTGGAGCAAATTGTTCATGGTAATCTCTTTCACAAAAAGGCCTTCCATCCCGCTCAAAAAAGTTAGCAGCACCTAAAGGTACTTCACAAGTAACACACGTGAAATGCTCAGGATGCCAAGTACGACCCAGTGCCGTACAAACTTGGCCTATGATTGGTTTGTTGCAGGCCGCACATTCCCCCTTCTTTGTTGTGCTGACTCCCTGTCTGGTCATATCAGACTGAAGTGTTCCTAACATGGAGTCTAGCTGGCTTACTTTGCCAACACCTAAAAGGTTTTAAAATAAACAAATGTTTAATACACACAGCATGAATTAATGAGACAGCACAAATGATTCATTTTTTAAGGATCATTAAAATAAGCAACGTCTTTTTTAAATCACTAAATTTGTCAAAGATTGAAGAAGCAGTCAGAGCAAAAGTGGTGAAAACCCCCTTTCTAGGGTTCTACATTACTGGCATAAGAATATTTACATTACCATCCACTGAAAATACATCTGACATTTCTTCCCATCTAATGGTAAAGTAAATAGAGTGCAACCTATCCTTTGGGACAAGTCTATTTCAAGGGACACCTCCATTCAGGGGACACAATATTTGGTCCTGGAAAAATGTTCACTTAATCTTTATATCTGTTCCTCCATAGAAGGGGTGCCTCAGGGGAAAAATGACACTTTTCTGGCTCCTGAAACCCAGGTTTACACTCCATTCATACAACACCTTAGCACTCAAAACATGACCGACCACAAAAAAGGTTGATAAGTTTCAACCTCGTTCCCAGGGTTCTCTCCTACCCGACCTCCGGAGCAAGAGAGAGAGAGAGACCCTGGAAAACGCTGGTCACATGTCTCCCAGAATCTGGGAGATTACAAACAAAGGATTTGGGGGAGGGGCAGGTAACTGTGAGATTTGTCTCTACAGAGTGTAGACAGGTCAGTGCAGCCGTGAAGCTGTGTAATTGACCTGATCTTGAATGCCGAAAATAATGCACAAAATCCTTGGACAGCAAAAGCGTAACTTCCTGCAGAATATCTGGATGTTGATGGGATGTTTATCAGTGATGCTTTCATTTGGCACATGCAACAGAAATCGCGGAGGATTCACCATTTGTGCAGTCAAAAATCATTTAGGTATCCTGGTCTGCCTGGTAGTAGTATTCATACCGAAACGGACTAGATTTGAATTGCCGTAGCTATGTTGTGGAGGCCACTTTAGAAAACAAATGTACAGTATCTGCATGTGTTTTTAAGATTACTATTATGCAGGTTATGTTGTCTGTTTTGTCTCTGTTTATACTATTTCCTGTTGTCTTCCACGTTGCAATGGTATATAATTATTTTTATCTTTGATCTATTTACCACTTTTCTATTGCTGCATCATAACAAAGGTTATTAGGGGGTGGAAAATGCTGACATTTTAGCTATAGCTTTCCTTCAAGTCACTAGATCTAAAATATTATTTTGATCGTAAATGTATTAACTGAACTCCTTGCTCTCAACTTAACTGCCATGTTTTGTCCCAGGGGTTTGTCACACCGAATCACTAAGACCGCAAATGGTGTAGGTTTATTTGGCCCGATTACCAGCCGCTGTCAGACAAACATTGAAACTTTTAATATAGAAGTTCAACATACAGGGATTTAACCTTCAAAAAATTAACTCGCTTGTGTATAACTCAAGCTCGTAGATTTTTAGCGATTGGTGTCATCGGTTCAACCAGCGACAACACTAGTTTTTGATCCCTTCTCTGGTAATTCACTTGTTTATCTGTCTGATAGTTCTGTTTAGGCAGAAGTTTCACTTAGTTTCAGTTACAGTTTTAGTAGGGTTAGCAAATCTACCCTGCTGTTGCGATCACCGCGTGAATGTTGCAAATAAACCAGACAAAAAAATGCCATTAAAATGTTGCAGGCATTCCACGACATCACACGGTGGTTCGAATGCTTCACAGATCTAAACCTGTTTAAATATGCGTTCAATGTCATTCAAAACTGGAACAAGGATGCTTTATAATTTATTTTACTCGATGGTGCATAATTTCTGTTAGCAGTTAGGGTGGAAGGAGATGAAAGTAGCCGGCAAAGGATGGCTAACTAGTCAGCGGTTCTGGCTACTGGCACTTATTGACAGCCCTGATCTCAAGGAACACTGCTTTATAACTTACTTGGAGAGGGTGGTTTAGCCTTACTGGGCTTGGCATAATCTCCACTTAACCTTGCTTGAGCTGGTGTGGGAGCGGCAGACACATTTACTTTAAAATCTGACAGGGATGCCATCAAGTCATCCAGCTCCTTAGTTGCTGTTGACGCTGTACGTGACTGTCTGCTGTCCAGATCTCTTGCACGCTGTAGCTGGCTATTTTGAGCAGAGGGTGTTATAATGTGTGTCACAGAGGCCTTAGGGCTGTCGAGCCCATTTCGTTCACCACCACTAAAACGTTTTTCAGCTAGAAGAATAGTATGCACAAAACAAACAATAATATTAGAGCAGGAGGTCAAAGAAAAGTGTGCATGCTTGCAGGATTTGGTTTATGCCATGAAGGGTCACTTTTTAAGGTCAGAAATGGGTAATCATTAACTGTTATGTCTAAACAGACCTCTCTTAACCTGTATAGCTTACTGTGTTTTGTGCTGTGTATTATGTATTAACCTGTGTTAGAAGGGAGAACACAAATGAATGGTACTGCAATACCGTGAAAGATCTTCTTTTACAGAATATACTGTCAGCAAAAAGAATAAAAACCCAAAGACTGCGGCCAGATGATACCACAATACTGCACATCAGCTTTAAGCTCAAAACTGCAATACCATAAACACCAATGTTCAACTGCCAGTACTTTACACGTAGTAAAATAGAAATTGATTAAGGAAAAGATTAGAGATGAAATTTAAGGCAAAGATAATCATGTGCTTAGCAAAAGGGAGGGAATGCTAACACAGAATGTATATGGATGAATATAGAAATAATTGCAAAAGGTTTGAACTCGGGCATCATTTCAAAAGTAGGTTAAGTATGATCGTCCGCGTGAACATACTCCTGAATAGCACTCATATAAATGATAATATAACTATAATATTAAATTATAACTAATAAAATTATTACCCGGCTGGGTGTCATGTTGAGAAACTGGTGAAACAGGACCCTTATAACTTGGTGGTAGACCATTAATAATTGTATTTTTTGGAGATGGCGAAGTTTGACTTGCTCTTGGTGATTCCCGTCGAGCTGTATGAGACAGAGTAATGGAAATAAACACTTTAAACCATTTCAAGAGACCACATGTACAGTTTATACAACTTCAGTCAATTTTAGTACTAACCAAATAAAAAATTTGGCCATAGAATTGATAGAAGAATAAAAATATAACACTTTGCTTCACACCAAAGCAAAATACACAGAGACAAAAAATAATAGTAGAGAAAAGCCTAATGGACACAGGAATGAGGTCAACTACTTGTACTTGGAGTACATGAAAATGAATTCCTTGAAAAGTATGCATGGTGGAAACAATTTTTAAATTTACACTTTTCAAGGGCTATAGATATAATTAGTTATCTGTAATAACACCAAACACAATTACAGGAGCCCAAGAAAAATAAATTTCAAGTTTCACAGGAATTGTGAAAACTGAAAGAGTAAGATTTCGTTTTGTGAAATTTAAAGCTTTTGAGATATATTTGTATTCTCAAGTTCTCATATGAAATTTTCTTTGGTGTTATTACATATAACTAATTACATCTATAGCCCTAGAAAAGTGTAAAAAAGAATGCATTATACCAGGGCTGTCAACCCCCCACGTCATCAAATAGTGAGAATTGGTAGGGAGGGAATGATAGATGACGTCATATCGCATGACAAATGACGTCATTTGTGCCAAAAATGCTCATTGATTCAGATCGACGTATATAGCCCATAAGCAGTTCATATTTAGCCATATTATTGCTTAAATTACAGTGGAATGCCAGAATGTTAGAGGAAACGTTCCATGTTAACAGCAGCTCAAACAATGCAAAATATTTCAAATTTTATGGTCGGAAAGTCGAGTCTACAAGAAATAACATCTTTGGCAATTATTCGGAAAATATCAGACTCTAATCTGGAGTCCGGGAGATACAGTTCAAAATCTGGAGTCTCCCCAATTATTTGGGAGAGTCGACAGCACTGTTATAATTTAAATTATTATGGTACAGAACAAGGAGAAAATTCAAATTACTCAATTTCCTAATGGATTCTGTATTAAACTTATTATACAAAGGCAAGATACATGGCCAAAAAGAGAAGACATAAAAATACACTTTTCTTTAGAAGGAGCAGGTCCAGTACGGGGAAATTCAAACAAATGCTGGGTCCACAAGAAAATCCGGAACAATTTGATTTGTGCAAATACCACAAATTAAGCTACATGTAAGCACTTTTTTCAAATGCATGTTTGGCAACAGAATTAGCAGATGGATAAAAGGTGTTTTGAAGGCACCTGATGTCATTGCATCTTTAAGCTTTAATACAACCTTACTTGTTTGGGGAACCTATGGGATGACTTTACAAGACCAACTGCAAAGATTGCAGCAGCCGTGTTCTGACATTCTCAGATTTTGACACTGATGCTGGCCAATTGTTGGAAATTTTGGGAAGGAAAAATCTTGACTACCAACAAAACATTCAAAAGAAGCTGTGGCCTAAGTACAGGTCACATTCCACAGGTCAAGAGTACAATTCACTTCTCCATCAATAAATTACTAAACCACAAATATTCCCCTCAATCTAGAAGGGCATTCTGTAAAAAGATTGGCACTAGGAGACACTTTTGGTGCTGTCTATTTATCTGTGTCATGGTGACCAGCTGTACTTTGCTGACTATGACCTGTAGAAAGTGACTTGTGTTTCAGACCCACCAAAATACAAGCTACAACCTGAGGGACTCCCAGAACAAACTTAAAGTTTGATTTCCCCACACAAATTATTTCAAAACAGTTAAGTTGTTATGGTGGTACCACACTGTGGAATAGCCTTCCTTGCAAGGCATGCCACGCGGAGTCTGTTGGGTTGTTCAAACGAGCAATTAGCAAAGCTCTTCAACACACAGCATTCATGGATGGTAAGCAGCTTAATAGTTAAAGTTATAAATGTGTAGTCATAGTTCAAGGTCTTTTTGAAACTAGCTGTTGAACTGCCTATGTAAATTAGTTTATCTGTCTATAAAAATGTTGAGGTTACTGGATTGAGTTGGGATGATCTAAGTTGGGATTGATAAACTAATTCAGACCCTCAATCCCACCCACAGGCTTGACTTCACCAAGATGACAGCTTTCCTCAATCAGAATTAAAAATACTTTATCTGAATATCTTAGTCATCACCCATGGTTTGGCAGTGGAGAACAGGTTACCCCACGGTCACACACTCTCAGGAGAGAACTGCAAACCAACCCAGGTCAGGCTCCTCATTCTAATTCAAGGATGGACACCTCCATTTTAAAACAATGGCCTTCTTCAATTGGTTCTTGATGGTAAGTTGTGGATGGAACTTTATTTTATGTGTTGATATGGTGCCTGTTTCCTTACAAAGTTTAAAGGCAGGGCCTGATCTTTCTTTGCTCAATGGCTGGAGGTTGACAATAATATTCTCTCCACTTTTCGACAAAGACATTTGATTGAGGCCTTTGAATTCAGTGTACAGCTGTGGAAATTTGGTCAAACATCATGTAACCACCAGATTACAAAAACATAACCACCCATAACAACATCCCCTCTGCACTTGTGACGTCATCAGTTTTAATGGTCATGGAGAATTTGGACATCTTACGGGTACAGGAGGAAAGAAATCCTTCAAACCAAGACTGAATGACCATGGTTCAGGTTCAGTCACAGAGGCCAAAGAAAAATGCAAAACAAACATGTGAATTTGACCCGAAATCTGCCTTCTGCGCATACACCAGAAAAAGAATAAAGGCAGCAATAGTACTCAACTTTTGAACAGTTCTTTGGTCAGTTTTCATTCTTTATGGTTTGACTAGCTTCCAAAGCCATATTAAATATTTCTGCAAAATCTTCACAACCAAATGGGTTAACATCAAATTTTACAAACAATAATCTCATAACAGAAAACAAATCAGATCTTGCAGTGGCCTAGTTGTATATGAAGGCATATTAAATTATGCAAATCACTTTTGTGTAATTTCTGAGGCCACATATGAAGCATATGTGAAATTAACGAAACTTACACTACACTCAATGTCTTGCTGAAGAATTAGAAATGTCAACAGTTACCCTGTATTATCTTACAGGAACCATTCTGTTCAAAGATACTGTTTCTAATCCAAACAGGATGAGCAAAGTGAGTTTCACACCAGGGTGTGTTTAATTAGTTGCTTTGTAGTTACTGAGACTCTTGAAAACCACAAGCATTTAATAAACAAAAGATTTTGCATAATGGCCTTCTCTTGCTCTAGCATACCCAATTTTGCACTTACTGTTATTATTGACAACCCTGAATTTGCACATAAAAAAATATGGCTGTAATGGCAAGAATGTGAGGATCATTGCATGAAATTAAATGGAAATTACGCTACAAATACAAGTTAAAGTGTGGAGAAACATGTTTTTCATTCTCCCACCAGGGGGTAACATCAAACACAGGCTTCTCTACAACTTTATTCTTCAAAAATTATATGTGTAGGTAACTGCAAAGCATATTCTTGGCAAATGTTTGAAAATATGACTTTAAACTGGCTATCAACTTACAAAATTACCGCGGTATTTAGATTCACATTTTGACCAATCACAAGTTTGAAACTTTACAGCAACTCCAAAAAATCTTTATTACTTTTTTCAATTTTTTCTCCGTTGTGTTCTTGACCGCACTCGTAGTAAATTACAAGAGAAGTTTTAGTTTGCAAATTTATGCTTCAAAGGCAATGGAACCAGCTGCCATTAAAAAAAACTAGGGGAAGTTTAAACAGATTTACACCAGCATAAACAAAAGATGCTAACAGCCATGAAATAAATGTAAAAATTCATCAGTGTACCGGAAAATCAAAAGGAATATTTCTCCCACATTAAATCGCAAATTGTACAATATTGACAAGACGAAGTACGTGTATTTGCACCGTGGATAAAATGGGCAAACAATTTCTTTACTTTACAGTGGGCGGACTTTAATTTGGGAGCAAGTTTTAATCGTCTTGAATGAATGGAAAAAAAGCGCGTGCCCAACGCGCGATATAAAGGAGAAAACAATTTCGAATATTCCTGCTTTTCTTCGGTGAGGCAAATTCATCGTAAGCCAATAATCTACAGTTTTAAAAGAAACGATACAAATCAAAGAAAATGTACCACAAGCCGACATGAAAAGCGGATTAAATTCAACAGACAAGATCTTAAATTTCAGCACGTTTAACTTTAAGGGTGAAGCAAAAAAATTGATTTCAATCGATATTTCTTAGCTACAGCTTGAGCTTGGTTTGGAATTTAATCATATATATAGAACGCCTACTAAAACAGTCATTTGATTCATTTGATTAATAGAAATTTACCTTCATGTTTTTTTTTACATTTTATATATCCAAAAAAATTTATATACCCCCAAAAATGGAACCAGCTCTGATTCTATGGGAAACTGAATGGACAGATTAAAATTCTAAAAAATATATTTACTAAAATCGATAAGCGCCACTTACCTGGTGATTCAGATGGCGAAGGATAGTGTAATGGGTTACTCAAATTTTCTAACAAACTGTCCAACTCCGAAAGGTTCTGTCCCAAGCTTGATGACGGTACAGGCGGGGGAAACAAAACATCGTCCTTTGAAATTGGTACACGAGGATCGAGTGCTTCAAAGGAGGGTGGAGGGGGGAGCGGAGGAGGAAGTTCCTCAGGCGACTCTCTACCATTCGCAGTTTGTCTTCCTCGAGCTTCAACCGGCGACGTAGAAATCGTAGGGCTTGTGGCTTGAAGATCCGCTAACAGTGCATCTAAAAATTCAATATTTTGTCTCAGTTTTTCTTCAATCGACGGTTTTCTCGTCCTTCCAGGCATGCTTATATTCTAAATTTCCTCAAGATCCCTTTTCGATCGAAAAAGTTGTCTGTCTTTGCGCTTATAATTTTTTCATTTCAATTCTATTCAATGCGTCGTTCTACCGCGTGTCTTTGATGACATATGAAACATGCTGTCGAATGTATGAGCCACCATTTGGCTCACCATTGCACAATAAAATCACACAAAACGATATAAATAATTCACGAGTATATTGACATCTGTTTGGAGCACGAATGTTTTGATTTCGTTGCGTGAATTCACCAACAGGCGTTGAGCGCGCGCGATCACTCGCTCAGCTCGCAAACCACAAATGACAGCATAAAAAATAGCTACAATTGCGATGACAAAAAAATTTTAAAATATGCCGAATCGCTAATGACATTGGACGTCAAGGTGTGAGGATTGTTTAAAATCAGTGACTTTGCAATCGCCCGTAGTTGTGACGAACATAAGAGTTAAGACGGAGCGTTGAGTGCTGGAATCTGTGCTATGAAGACTTATTTTCATAGGAAAATCGGTAAAGATCGGAATGCTGATATCCGCGTTTCTCGAGTTCAAACGCAATACAAGAAGTTTACTGTGGAACTTCAGGTCAAACAAATACCTCAAACAGACAATAACGCGGTAAAACTAGTAATTTCGAGCCCTGGACTTAGCTTAACAGCTCGCCTGGGTTCGAAGTTCCTTAGCTATTTAGCGCTCTAACTTTTCGAATCAACGTGACTAAACTTTCAACGAGCTTTTTCAGCTAATATTCCCATAAAAATTCTTACATTGTTTACAAGGTTAACCAAACCAACAGCTAGGTTGAATTATGACAATTACGGAGATCAGAATCTCGAACAGGTTTCGCATGAAACACTGTGTATGAAATGAGCAAACCAAATTACTACACAAAAAAATACAAATATGATCGATCAGACATACCTAGGTCATCCATAGTAACTTGTCGACACAACTAGAATAATTAGCAACTCCCTGTACGCTTACAACTGTCACAAAAATGAGCCTCAGCGTCTTCAAACATCACAAATGAAAGAACATTTTCTGCTGCAGTTCCTTTACAATTATCGTCTGGCGTCGGATATGTTCGTGAAGGGATCGGGTATCTTCCTCTGTCAATCAACTGCACGAGTATGACGAGTATGCAAATAACTGGAATTCCGATCGCAATCCATAGTCATATATGGAAAATACCGGAAGTTGGGTGTATGCTGTCTTACGATTCGTGACGTAAGGTCGATTACGTAAATCGTTAGAAAACAATAAATCCGTTGTTCTAATTTGGTTCTCAGTTTAAAAGGAAAGGCAGCTTTTTGCTAAAGAAGAACGTTTTTATTTATACGACCACGTTGTATTTATTACGGATGGGGGCAGCATCGGATTATGATTGTCATCAGGAGCCGAACTATTATATAAATTGCAAATATAAATTTGAAAATACTTTGACTATTATCACGACACAGGTTTAAATTTTCTTAACCTCGGTACCGGGGTAAATTCCGCGTATTTCCTTAGCCTGTTCCAGGCGTTCCGATAGTAGAACGAGGGAGAAAAATTCAAGAAGAAAAAAAGAACGAGGGGAGACTAGACGGGGAAAGGGGGAGGGAAGTCTCTCCCCCACCCCCCACCCCCCAACCGTTTTCGCGCTGTACTCTCGAGCAGGGCGGATAAAGGTTGGGCGGTGAAACGAGCGCGTCCGAGCAAAAAGGTGTGATGCAGTGGACTGGGACTCTGCTTAGAAATGTCGCTTGTTTTCGACTTCGGTCAGGGCTTGCGGACAGCTTGCGATGTGGTTTGTACATTAGACACTGCCGCAGTCACTGAATTATGGCGGCTTGATTTGTTCTCTTGCACCTCTTCCTCGTTCCTTTGTGCTGGTACGCTGTCTCCGAGAGGCAAATGTTGCTATTTTTGCGGGAGGTTTAGTTGGAGTAGACGAACATCTCTTTCAAAGGGTTTCTTTTATTACTTCCATGACTCTACCACTGAATTATATTTGCGTTCTGCTACTCGCCAATGTCGATGTTATTCCAAAACAAAAACAACTAAGTACTGTCTAAATCACGAAGGAAAATCTCATCCATGTTATCCATGGCGAAACTAAAAGACAACACTTCGTGTTTCATAACTAGATGACGTGTATTTTATAAATGCGTGCAGCTCGTGCCAGGTGAAATTATGCTAATTTCAATCACCATCATCCTTCTTTTTAATTTTGAAAAAAACATCTCATACGTCTTTCTGTTTATTCAAAACTTCAAAATTACTTTCCCCTCAGTTTTTCCTGTTTACCTTGTTTTGTTTTAGAGAGAAAAACGGAGAAAAAACCTTACAACTAACCTCAATAAATTTTGTTTACATGCGGTTGCCGGATTTGCAACGCATATTTTTTGTTATGTTATATAAAATTTATCCCCCTTTAACATATGTAAAAATTGAGGTTAAGAAGTGTTAAGCTTTTGCAAACGAAACGGCGAAAGACGATAAGGTGATATTTAGTGGAAGGAGGAAGTATTCAACACTTTCAAATTAAACTCAAATTTTGGCATTATACGACCAACAAGTTTGACCTATAGACGTGCAGACACAAACATATGAAACTGTTTATTGATATTGTTATGAAACGAATTTATCTATTTAACATTGTAGCCTGAAATTACAGAAAGAAAATAGGGTTTCCGGTTTGCAAAAAGGAAAATTTCGCCGGCCTTGAAGCGCACCGGAAGCGCGGAAAGAGCGCTCGTGCCAGTCCTTCTCCGCATCACACATTAAATGAAGAGCGGAGCGCTCGTTTCACCGCCCAACCTTTATCCGCCCTGCTCTCGAGTACTCCCACTGACCGCTGCGCTCTACTGTCTGAACGCCTGGAACAGGCTAGTGTTTCTTTTGTCTTCTGGGGCCCGTTTCTCGAAAGTCCCAGCAAACTACTCCATTTTGTTTCATTAACTGACAGTTTTATCAATGTTAGATGCAAAACTATTGAAACCTCGATCTTTAATGTAAACGGAGACAGCTTACCGGGCCCGTTAATTATCGGGACTTTCGAGAAACGGGCCCCTGGCCTAAAATTATCTACTCATGGGCCATGGTTCTCATGCACGCTCGCATGGTTCGCTCACTCCAGGGCGCTCACTCTACTATTCCTGAGGTAAAATGAGGTACTACTTGTAGTCCGAAGGAAGTTGCAGTCCTGTGTCTGATAGTCTGCTCTCATGCTCCACAGCCGTTTTTTGTGTCGTCACGCAACGCTCCTGTGGGGCTGCGTGACGACAAAAAGAACGGCTGTGAAGCAGACTGTGTCAGACAGACTGAAAATAGAACAACTAACCCCTCCCCGCTTTCCCCATCCTTAATTGGGGGGAAGGAAACAAAATTTTCCCTCTGTTTTGTCACAGATTGTACGTGAAAAAAATTGACCTGAATATCAAGTTGTGATCCTTAATTGCATCATTTATGATTTAAAGAACTGTTTAGGTCGTTCAGGCAAACTGGTTGTATTAATTGTGAAGAAAAAATTGGAAACTGTAAAAGGTGGTTTTTGAAACAATGAAGTGGTTGTATGAATTGCGGGGTTTGTAGAATAAGGAAATGTGTAAACTTTTTTTGACCAGAAAAAAGTGGACATAAAGGGTAGGGGGGAGTTGAAGAACATAGGTTCCACTGAACTCAGCGGAATTACCTTCATAGTTCTCAGAGATTATCAGTCAATTTCTTGTTTTGGAAATATACCGTACCAGTAGCCGATACTTTTCAGGGGAGAACATTAACATCAACTTCAGTCCCCGGGGGGTACTCCCTATGATGGCCTATACGGGGAGGCTCTGCCCGAAAGGGGTACCTTTTTCAGGATTCAAGTATAAGAAAGGGTAGGGATTTTACTCGTTGAAGCAGGGGCGGATCTAGGGGGAGGGTGCAGGGGGTGCGCACCCCCCCCCCCCTTGAGATGACCTGCGGTTTTCTAATACAACTGGGGTGCTTATCATTTGACAGAAAAATCCGGTTGGGGTGTCGAAAGCATAATGGTAAGCGATTTACCAGTTTACCGTAGAAATGCCACATCCGTTAGGGTTTGAATTCAAAAAAGGGCAAATTTGTGTAGCGTTAGTCTGGAACCGAGAAGGAACAAGAAATTGGTTAATGGTAAGCAACATTCCGTTTGGTTCGTAGGTTGGCCTTACTTCCCTGATGGAGTTTTGCATGAGGAGTTAAAAGCCAACCTTAAAGGCTTTTCACTCCTTACCATTTAGCTTCCATCCGGAATTTCCGACATTTTCTGTCAAATGGTAAGCACCCCTGGTATGCTGCAAAAAAAAAACTATGTGGTTTATTGGTGTTGAAGTAGAGCAAGAGACGATTGCACCCCTTCCTAAAAAAAATCCTGGATCCGCCCCTGTGAAGTATATGAAAGGGTAAGGAAATCTGTCATTTGGGTCCGCAAAATGGCCCAAAGGACCGAACAGTTGAATTTTATGGCTTTATAAAGTCGGGAAAACGTTCTGTTTTGGGATGGATTGCTATTTAAATGACAATGCATTTACAGCAGTTAAAAAGGATGCAAAGTTCTAAACGAGGTACAGTTGACTCCCGATAACTCGAACCCTCGCTAACTGGAACCTCGCGCTAACTCGAACCAAAACCGATTTCCCCCGGATTTCCGTCATACATTTACTGGAATTTTACCCTCGATAACTCGAACCTCCCGCTAACTCGAAGTAATTTTCGTTTCCCCTCAGATCATTTCTATACAATTTTACCCTCGATAACTCGAACCATGTTTTGAGCCCTTAAAAAGTCGTTAAAAAACAGTGACGTGTTGTAGGCATAAAGTTTACCAGGCTCGATTACCAGCTGCTGTTCGGGAAAATGAGCCCGCACTCAATAACTTAGCCTCCACCGCAGACGTTCTTAGAGGTTACCCCAAAGAACGTCTGCGTGGGAGGCTACCAATAACTCGAACTCCTGATAACTTGAACTTTCCTCGATTTCCCTTGAAGGCTCGAGTTATGGGGAGTTGACTGTATGTGAAAGGGATACCATTTGTCAATAGAAGGAGTACGAAAGGGGTACCTTTTTCGTGAAAAATGGTATATACATGTAAAAGGGTAAGGGGTTGGACCTCGGGGTGGAGCTCCACTGGAGCCTGTATAATGGCTTCAGTCACTACCAGCAAAAAAGATCTTGGAAGACGTTTAAACAGAAGTCGCAATAGTGGGGTAAATTTTACGTACACGTCATTAAATACAGTCGAAAAAAGTTTATCGCCATAATTTTTAAAAGTGCTTTTAAATGTGCACTTTGAACTGTATATATTTATCCCAAGACTCAGCAAATTAAGATGCATCTGAGAGGTTGAAATACTTTTCTGTTCTCAAGTCCATCAAGGACAGATCCAGAAATTTCACATGCACTATCTGCATTTCTTTATGATTTGTTAATTAGCACCATCCCCAAAATAGACCTTACCAAATAGTTGATCTGATAAACAGACAGAGTCTGAAAAACCTGAAGAGAATCACATCCCCACCCCCCAACCCCTACATGACACCAAAAAAATGTACCACTAGCTCCATAGAGATAAAACTCTAGGAGCATTAATTTTATGTCCAAAATAAAGGCTCCCAAAAACAGATTTCAACTGAAGTTTTGAAATATTAAACAAGAAAAGAACAGACAACGCTGTGGGGATAGAGGGATGGAGTAACCCAGCCTCCAAAAATAAAATAATAAATTAAAATTATGTTTGTTGTTGTTGTCGATGTTGTTGTTTTGTTTTTTATGAGCAGCAAGGTTCTATATATGGGCTTGTAATGTGTTTGTAAAAAAGAATTACATTTTATCTTGTATATCTAGGCTGACATTAGCAAGTTTTCAAGAGTACTTGTACTTTTTCAAGAGTATCTTGTATATCTAGGCTGACATTACTCTAAGTGAGGAGTAAGTTTTCAAGGGTACTGAAACATGCAGACAGAGAAACTCAATTTTTCCTGTTCCTGAGCTGACATGATATGGCAAAACCAGATTAGGTTCTTGTTATGTTATGTGGCATAAATCATACGAGTTCAATTCAGTGGGCTATTCTTATGTATAGAAAAATGTTCAAGGTGGTAAAAAGTTAGCACTAAGCAGTAAAATAATGTACCCAAAGTGATTTATTGCAATTTTTTACTAGAAATAATAATTAGTTATTAATTATTCTTTGGTTACTCTGACTAGCTTTAACTTTAAATTCCTTAACCCACCGGCTACCATTTACCCACAAATGTTATGTGTGGTTTTGACACTTGCAAAAACTTAAATAACTGAAAAATTTTAAAGACCAAAAATTAATTTATAAATATTGATTGTTTAAACCTTCTGTGAATTATCCAACTTATTTTTATCATAAAATTCTTGTATAACTTTAATATTTGCAGATAAGAGATCAACACAGTCCTTCATTTCCTTTAGGACAGTCTCTTCATCAACTTTTCCTCGACCCAGCTTTTCCATGAAGTCCTTACGATATGGGACAGCTTTCATGGCAAGCTAAAGGAAAAAAAAAACACTTTTAGCTGTCAGGGTTTTCATTAAGTGCCGGCAACCGGTTAAAAAACCGGCTACTTTAAAGTCTGAGCCCTGTACTTTTTGGGAAAAAGGGGTAAAACAGGGAGTGAAAGCCTGAAATTGCCTACAATACTCGATTGCTAAGCCACCTTCTTTTACACAGGCCCGTAACCAGGGGGGCACGGGGTGCGTTCACACCCCCCCAAAGGCCCCACAGGTCCGCATTTTGATACTCAATATCCAAGTTAAGGAGTGCAGTCGGTTAAACTGAAGTTTCAAACTTAACAGTGATATTTAAACAAAATCAAAGAATGGAAAAAGCAGTAGTGTTTAATTTCACTGGGAAAATAAAACCAGCTGCACTTTAGTAGCCCGAGCCATTCAGAACATTTCAATGAGCAAACAGATGTCCAAGCTTATCTAAATGAATAATCAAATTAACGTGCACATGCTTTGCACAGGAGTTTACTACAAGCGAGCCAATGACAAGGGAGCGATCTCATAATTTTTGTCAGACACGTCCGCTAACGCGTCAGGTAGTATTCTCTATTTGTACGAGTGCATGAACGCCCAAAGATGCAAAATTATTTTTTTGCGTAATATGTTATGGGTAGGAGTAAACAGCAAAATAGAAAGAGGAAGGCTGCAGCTAAATCTTGCCAGTCTCTCGATACATGGGTCAGTAAAGTACCCCGTCAAGAGCCATCAGACGCTGACAATGACAGTTCAGTCTGCAATGACAGCCCAGCTGAAACCACGACTTCAGATCTACCTCAGGTAACTACAGTTTTACAGCGAGTTATAGAAGGTAAATCATACTTATTTTCGCAATATCCACCAGTCTTGATCCCATTATCATGCTCTGAGATTTAGTCGCTATTCCTTAATATGAAACAAACTCGCTTAATAAAAAGCCAGTGAGGGAACACAGAGTAACAATTCGGAGAGGGACTCAGGGAGGGTTAATCTAAAGGAGCAATCCACAGGCATCCCAAACCATCAAAATAGAAGTTTTCAAGACACAAAGAGGGAAAATACATTTTATGTTTCTCTTGGTCTCTTATCGTCATTCCCTGATGTCATGAAAAGCAGATGTGTACTTTCCGCATTGTTTATAAAATTGTAGAGACTTTGCAAGCTCCAGTACCTGAGAATACTGATTACAATCTAACGCGGCATCACTTAGAACCAATGATGCAAAAAGAAATAAATGACATCGGGAAGTTTTCTACGACCTCTGAGAAATTTGGTTCTTCCGCAAATAAGCTGCCAGTTGGTCAGAAGTCCACTTTGGCCTCGTTAGCAACCCCCACATAAATCCTGGTTACCGGCCTGTTTACATCCTAGCTGTCTACTTTAAAACTTAATGAGAACCCTGAGCTTTGAACAGAATTTCTTTACGAGATTGCTTGTACACAGCATTGAAAGAGTAAGTTCTCTAAACGTCAGTGTTTTCTCACAATGACTTTTCTTTCAGGTTCTGGTGAACTTCTGGGTTTAAAACTGGTGTAGAGATATTCCCCAGTCAGAGAGATAGAATCATACCGTAAACTGCAGCTTGCCCTTACATCTTTGTAAGAGGTTTTAGGAGGGTTAATAAATGGAGGAGCTTATATCCGAGGGAGATTATAACAGGAATAGAAAAAGCACTTTGAAACAAGCTATAGTGATGCTGATCTAAAATCCTTTTGCATTTACTGGTTAATAAATCAAATTCATTTTACAGTCAAGGCAGGTCAAGTGTACCCCCCAAGATTGCATCAATGAATCGATTATTGGAAAAAATGAATCTATTAGTTGTTGCCGCAACCAGTCTCAAATTCAAATCTGCATAATTTCCTGCAAGCGTGATGAGCAGCGAATTTCTCATGATAACTCCTCTGTATTCGGTCAGATTGAAAAACTTTGAATGGATAAAATTGTTTTTACATCAAAGTCCAGAAAACTGAGCTGGCAGAAATTTCACTACTACCTCGCGTGTGAATTCACTGTTCATTACATATGCAGAAGTGCAGAGACAAAACTGAAATGTACAACTACCAATGGATTCAACCTTTGCATAATAACTTCATTAATGCAATCTTGACCTGCCCTGACTGTAATACATTTCGAGGGGGGATTACATTAATTTTGAGGGGCTCATAATTATTGGATGTACCTTTTTGTTTACATGTAGATGGCCCTATAATAACTGGGGGGGGGGGGGGGGGAAAGGGGGGGGGGGGGCGTTTTAAGCAGAGGTTTATAATATACCCCAAAAAATAGAGGGGCCAAAAAGAAACAAGTGAAACTCTGGGGAGGGTTTTCAGTTATTAAAAAAATAAATTTAAAAAACAAAGAACGAAAAACACAACGTCCAACCACCAAGAAAAATGGGGGGGGGGGGGGGGGTGTAAGTGGAGGGGGTGGGCTTTTAAGCAGCAGTTTATCATATACCCTCAATAATAGAGTGGTCAAAAGGAAACAAGTGACACTCTAGGGAGGGTTATCAGTCATTGAAAACATCAATTTATAAAACCTACGGAAAAAACTCCCTGAACCATCCAGCCATGATATCTCTTAAGTGATGCCTCATAAGCTTTCTTGGCACATTTCACAAGATCCTGTTCTCCTGTAAGAACCTCTTCAAGAAACACAACAATGAACTGAAGTGCTCTGTGAGAGAGAATTAAAAAATGCAAAAGATGAGTTTTGAAGGCTGAATGAGTGTAAGGCAAGGAAACTAAGGAGAAAGGTTAATGGAGAAATTAGCAACACCAAATGAAGGCCTTTAAACCATACCCCTGACATGTGAACCTTGGGGTTTCTCACATTCGCATTCAGGATGCTCATAAATCCCCAAAGGAAACATTAAAGGTAAGACACTCACAATCCAAGGGGGCTCAAATAGCCAAAGCTTAACTCAATCTACAGGGCACAGGAACTAAATTAGCTATACTATGTTTAAATTCAGAGTGGGTACACAGATCTTCTTCTAATATTTGTTGCCATGTTCTGAAACTCCTTACCCACAAAAATAAGGGAGGTCAAAGGAATCAACCATTTTAAAAATGCCTTGCAAAATTATATGTTTTAATATTCTTAGTTGTATGATGTACGATTTATTATTATCACAATAACTATTATAATTTGTTCATCCATAGTGTACATAATTGTAAGGGTTTAAAACTTTAGCGAGGGTTAGTTAAATGTTATTATTTGTAGTAGTATCACTATTTTAGTTCTTTTGTTTGTTGCAGGCGACAAGAAGAGCCTGAAGACTATTCTTGGTCAGCAAATCTTGATCACTAATGGTTTGGTATTTTTGCGTGTTTGTAACTTGTTTTAGGTAGTATTACCCAATCAACATTCATTACTTCAAATAAGGCTACCATAAAAGATGTCAATTAATTTCAAAAGAGGAGTTTTTATTTCAATAATGAAATCAGTTCCCGATAAATGAAGGTCATTTCCAGTGAAATAATGAGCAGCATGTGCTGAATATCATGATTGTGAAGCTAACTGCAATATGCACAAACAGCAAAATTTCCCTTGAACTCCACGTACCTAGGAATGCAGCTTTATTGCATGTATTTGTACTTGTCAACCAAAACTGTTAGACTTTTTTCACCTGGTCAACACTTTCAATTCAACTGCACCACATACAGCTTTGGTATCTTTATTGAACAAACAATTTTTCAATGTGAAAGGTTTACACCCAGGGGTCATTTTTAAAAATTAGGTTGAGTATGATCCAACCACCGGCTCCATTATTTTAAAGTATTTACTAGCTATATAGAGACTTTATAGATACCTGGAAGTGACAGCGACATTTTCGTTTAGGGAGAACAATGACAGTGACATTTGCAGCCATTGGTTTGGTGACATAGGTATTAAAAGGGGTGTGTCATGGCAGCAAGGCTACCCCCCTTGGAAGGCCTCATAAAATGCAGTTGTGGACACATTTGCATTCCTTGCTTCCAGCCAATGGCTGCTTAAGGGAGCTTTGACTTTATCAGAGAAAAAACATTAAATACCACTAGCCAAAACATCCCCATGTCCAAACGTCAGTAGTATGATTTTTTCCTTTTGCAATATATGACAAGTAAAAGGTCTGTGACCAACCTTTTTAGCCAAAGCAAGGCATCTGTGGCAGAATTCTTGGCGGTGGTTGTTCCTGTGGCTATCTCACTTTCAACAATATCTTGCAATGTTTTAAATTTTTCTGGATCTTGTGCAAATTTCTCTCTAAGTTTCTAAAAACAACACACAGACACAAAAGATCAAAATCAGAAAACAACAGATTTATAGGATAGCAGAATCACATTCTCCCCATGGTATGGAACCTCTGAGGCCAAATCTTGGATTTCAAGGTTCTACCATCAGTAACAAAATTAGAAGATACTTTACCCTCAAGGACATTTATCACATTTTAACATTTTAACTTCAAAAGGTTAAAATGAAGCTTCCCCACTGCCACCCTTGTGCCACTGTTCAAGCTACCTGTAACCCAGCTTTGAGTGGAGGGGTGAGGAAAGATTGTTTTGTTTGCCAAACTTCAGCCAGTTTGATAAATGTCTCAACAATTTTTTCATCAACATAGTTGCCTGAGATGTGCATTAACTCAAACGCAGGCAAAGGTTTTATTGCTCATCCCTTATGCTCCATGATAAAAGAAATTGTAAAGTATTCTTGCTACTCTTCTGGATTGGACAAATGGTGAAAGAAAATAAATTTTTAACCACGCAATACTATACCTTTATGTTACCATTTATATCAGACTTAACAGGAGCAAATGCTGTAGGTCCTAAAACATCTGTTGGACAAGAACATAATGAGACAGAGAATACTAATTAGTAATTAATGTTGCAGTAAAGCAAACTGAAAAATATCGTCTCAGAATCTTGCTACATTCCTGTTATTTAAATTATATACAGCTCAGAATTTACAAGTATTATTTATTTAATATTCAAATGTCAGTGCTCCTCTTATACAAAGAATCTATGCATAAGGGATCCGCACTTCCTGAATTAGCTCCTGGTACTCCTGCTGATTATTATTGTCATCTATTAAATCCAGGTGGAGGGTAGGGAAAGGGCACTCTATAATTTCTCCTTACTTTTGGTCAGACAAAACTAATAGCTCTATCAAAGTTGCTGTTTAAAACACAGCCACCATTTTGAGGATTTATTTTAAGCATGCAAATATTTCATCGCCTGTCCCATTCCTAACAGGCCATCACATGCTCAGATAGGATTTGGCCAGATCTCCCCTTCAAAGTCAACAAGAAATCTGGGTACAAGGTCACATTTACGTAAGTGAATGCATCATATAGTGGTTCCATTCTATGCCGTGGTAGGGTACGTAGGGGTATGCTAATGTATGATAATGAGTTTAAAACAAGGGAAAATATAATTTAAAACAAGGATAAAATTGAACCACAACATACGTATGTACCCATTACCATAGATTACAGAAAATGACCATGTACAAACACAAATTATTCGTGAAGAGAGATAGATCACACTTGACAATCTTGACAGCCGTAGGCAAGTTCTTGAGGGATAAACCAATAATCCCAAGGATTAAGAACTTGCTTGCCAGTCACTCTCAACTTTATTCTGATCTCTCTGATAGCATCATATTCAACCAAGTTGGTTTTGCACTACACTGCTGGTTTTTATCTACAACCCAACAGTGCATTTTACATTCTGAATCCACGTCATCACCCCTCGTTCATATTAAAAATTTTTTAGGCCTCGATATTTTCGACATTTCTATCTTTACGTAAAACAGATATTACTTTTTCTCAGTCAATACTAGAGAGCAAACAACAGGGTTTAAAATCAATCTTTTATACGGGTAATCACTGCTGGAAATCATGATGATCCACAAAATTCAGATTAGCTGCATGATCTTAAAGTTCTATCCATATTTGTTCTAGAGAACTTATGTATCTTACCAAAGGCTACTTACCAAAAAAGGGTACTACTTCACTGGCAGCATCTAAAAATGATTTTGTCTCTATTCTACTGTCCTCAGGAACTGGCAAGAACCGATGAGTTGCCTCCGAGAAGAAAGACATGATTTCCGTGACAAAAGCCGTTTAGGGTCAGCTCGTTTCTAACTGGCGTACTGCCAGTGGGTAGGGCCGGTAAAGCTCTGTTGAATTTTCCTTATATAGCGGTTTAAACATTAAAGCGCATGAAATTTAGTTTAAAATCTATTCTTATTTGATAATGATTTAAAAATTAGCATGATTTAGCACTTTTACCGTTAATTTTGCTACATCTTTGTGTTTATCTTCTATACCTACCCCTCCACGCTAAGTACATTTTGTCGTCTCATTCATTCGGACCAGGAAGAGATTACGCGGAATTGTGGGAAATGTTTTGTTCAGTTTATATGCTAACATGGCGTCTGAATCAGGACGTATTCAAGTCCGTAAAAATGAGGTGAGAACTAACGATTTTTTCAGTTTTTTAACTAGCCATGCTGTTGTTTTTATTTTGTAAGACGAAATGTTTTCGAGAGCTTAAAAACAACTTAATCTTTCCATTCATCAAACGTTATGACATCAGTCACGTTTTCATTCACAACTCAAAATGTGTAAATGGAAAGTCTTATTGTCATTTACGTGCATGCATGTTCTGTTTCTCTGTTTTCTCTCATTTTAAGATCGTTTGGGATGAAAGCCTATTTTAGGGGAAACGGAAAGTTTGAGGCAGTCTAGCTTCACATGTTTTGTAGTTTCGCGGAAACAAAATAAGTTGACTTCCCTGTAAAACCAATGCCCACACTTCACTCTTTGTTCATAAACAGCACGCGTGGCCTATTTCGATTTTAATAAACTTGATGTTCATGTATGGTAAAAGACCGAGGCTTTTCACATTTTTTTAGATAATTTAATTACCCTGAACTGTCATTTGTCCATGTAATAAATTTTCGAAAACATCTACAGTAATATACGTACATTTACAGTATTGTTCGATATTACAAGCGATATTATAAACATTTATGGAAGTAAAAGGGAAAAAGTGTAAGTGGTTATCTCATATGCATGTAACCCGCAAATTTATGACGTTGGTTCAGAATTTGTAAAGTACAGGAAAAACAATATTTACGAGGAAAATTGTAAAGCCTCAGCACCTTATCGTCAAGCTTTGTATTATACTATCACAGCGAACAACTATTGAAAGAATTATTTAAACAGCTTATTATTCGATGCTGTTTTTAAGAAGAAAAAAAAAACCAGCTCAGATTTTTATCACACAATGGAGACATGAAGGTTCACACTTAAGGGTTTTATATTGTATTTACTTGACCAATTTTCATTTTCTTAACTTCCTGGAAAGCTTAGAGTTGCTTGCTACATAAACTGACCCTATGGACGGCTGCTTATTATGTTTGAGCATACCTGTTCTGTTCCATTTCATAGGTTTTACTTCTTAAGAATGGCCAACCCATCCTCAGAGTTGAGCGAGGGACAACTTTGAGTGTCATCAAATTGCTCTATCAAGCTGACCCTAGAAACAAGGGAACCGTGATAGGTTTGAGGCCAGAAACAGATGAACCATTACCATGTGTGCTGACACTAGATCATTCTCCACTAGAAGAAGCAAAATATGAATTGATAACTCATGGTAAGGGGTGGTACTATATATCATCAGTCTATTGCTGTTTCAGGTCAATTCTGTTCTGAAAAAATTTAAACTGGCACCTTTACCCATACTCACAATGCTGCGTGCACACTAACAACTTTAATTTTTTGGTGATTTTTGCAGGCATGACATTAATTTCCAATATCCACTCCCATTCTTAGCATCCATTGCAACAGACGACAGTTTCAAGGCTTAAAATGTAGTCTTAAGTAACAACACTGGACCATTATTTATGGATTTTAATATTCTTGATACAAACAATTTTTTTAGCTTTTTGAAAAATTTCAGCAAATAGCCTGGCATAGCCCCTTTAAAAGTGCCTTTGTTTCAAAGGAGAGTGAGGAAAAGTGTGGGTTTGACAAGAATCATTTTTGTTACTGACATATAGATCATTAACATGAATCTCATGTTACTTTAATTCAGAAACATCCTCACAAAGTTCCAGTCACCCAGCCAGCAAAGAAGAAGTTGTCACCAGGGCATTTCATGATGGAAATTCTTCAAATCTTTCAAACTCATTTTATTCCCAAGCATCAATCCACTCTTCATACGAAACATCGTCAGCTTTACCACAGATGGCACACACAAATCATGGAACGCCTCTAACAGTGAATATATCACCAGAAAGTAACCCTAAAAAAAGCTTAGTTTATCAAAGAGAGAGCAATGGCAGCTCACTGCTTGTAGCCAGAAGTGACAATGATCATTTACCTTCTCATTTAAGCATCTTTGCATCATCACGCAGGAAGAAAACAACCTCTCGGAAATCAGTTATCCCCCGTAAAGTTTCTCCTTCTTCTAGCCCTAATCCAATCCTAGCTAATAAATCCATTCACAGAATACCTTTTCAAAGAGAAAACGGAACTAACTTAAGAGATGAACAATTAGGAGACAAAAGGGCGAGATTTGGTGAACATGGTGACTCACCTGGCTTATGTGATAGCACAGAAAATGGGAATCCTACATTACACATGGAGGAGGCAGAAAACATGGACTTGTCAGCAGCTCAACACAGAGAAAATGGGGGAAGTGCTGCTGCAGCCTCCTATTCAGTGGAAGATGCGACTGGTATTTCTAATTTTCCAAACTTGGAAAGTTCCTCAACTAATGGTTCAAGTCCTGCTGTTAGTGATGACCATCCAGTCATCATTGATGTGCATAGTGACTCAAGGGAAACTAGTGGAGGAGAAAATGATTCTGATTCAAACTTTGTAAGTTTAGAGAATAGTCCTTCACACAATCATCCAAGTATTGCCCAGGGTTCACGTGGTAACATTAAGGAAGTTTTACCTAGAGCTAATGAAGAAGGACACTCTTCACACACATCACCAGTCGTGTTGCTGCAAAGCACAGTTTTGGTTAAAACAGAACCTAATGAATTCCTGCCAACAACAGACAGTCACTCTTCAGAGCAGAATAATAGAATACATTTACTTCACCCTAATGAAAAAAATGACTATTCTGAAAATTGTGGCATGGTGCGCAGGATTCCTACTGACAGCTACTCAGTTTTGCCTACTAGCTCACAGGATACCCATCCCAGCTCACTGCCAGGTCATCAGGAGCCTCCTGTGATGCCACGAGTTGTAAATGTTGTTGGTGCATCTCCAGATCATAGTGAATCAACAGAGGAGTCTCATTCACAACCCACTGATGACTACATGTTACCTAAAGCATACAGCTGTGATATCTGCCATAAGCGGTTTGACTCAGCCAACTCTATGATGCGTCATAAGCGCTCTCACAGTGGAGATCGGCCCTATATTTGCAAAATCTGTGGATGGGGTTTTAATTTGAGTGGCAATCTTAACCAGCATCTGGCTATTCATCAAAAGGTAAAGCCATTCAAGTGTGTCTATTGTGGAAAGACTTTTGCACGGTCAAATGTCCTGAAGGCACATGTTCGTTGCCATACTGGCGAGCGTCCATACCAGTGCCAACTTTGTGGCAGCAAATTTATTATTGGACACAATCTAAAGAAACATATGTTGACACGGCATGGTATAAAGGAAGATGGCCCAGAGGAGGTGGGATCTCACAATGGAGAGAATCAAAATGAAAGCACAAGTGTCCCTGAATTGTCTCAACCATATGCATAAGGAAATTTTTAATTCTGTAGACTTGTTCAGTTCCTCAGCTTAATTGTGGTCCAAATGTGTCATTCAAAGCTTAAAAGACAACCACCAAAAACTGAAAACTACAGGTATTTATCATAGTGTTTGTCTCAAATAGGCTGAGATGTCAAATAAATTCATACAAGCTCCAGGTACCTGCAAAGCTTTGCTTATAGCTAGCTGAAATTTGGAGAATCGGTCATGGGTATAGGGGGATTCCCATAGAAATAAAAAAATAAATAAATGCTAGGTGTAGATAATGTTGTAGATAAACACAGATTTAAATGCACTGAGTTATGATTAAATAATTATCATTATAATTTATATAGTTTCTATTTGCCAGAGATCATGCAGTGTGTTTTATTTTAAATATAAAGAGACATGGAAATCTATTTATATTATTTTAAAGTTAATTGGAGATCTTTCTTTAACTCTTTTTTATCCTATTAAATAAGCGTTGCTTATGCTAAATCCTGGTGTGCAGAGAAAAAAATTAGCAGTGTCAAAGTCTTCATGTTAATATTTTATAGCCCTGTTTTGTGAACATGCGAATTGGTCTTTATTTCCTTGTAAGAAAAGAGAGAAGTTGATGAAGATTAAAAGTCACTTGGGGCCTTATTCCTTGTACTGATTGTGCTTGCATACTGGGCAGTTTTGTGGCGAGTTTTTCATTTTGTGTTTTGTTAAGTAAAGGATAACACCTACTCCATCATTTTCTTGATGAACGAAAACCACACACAAGAAAAAGAAAAACATTGTGATGATACTTGTGATAATAATTCTACATACTTATCATTATTTTAAAACAGCTTCTGGGTGTTGGTGACAAAACAGTGGGTGTTGGTCATATTCAGATAAATGCAAATTTGGCATTAGTTTTTCTCAAAATCATAAATTTTAATCTGCTGGCATAGTATTTATTTAAATAAGATGGCTTATGAAAAAGTAGTATTTAAGATAACTGCGAAAAGATTTAAATTTTATTTTAATTTGTTTTATTTGTTGACAGACTATATTTTGTTAATTTGATTTACATTCCTTATTTTTATTGTATTATTCATAAAAGCCTAACCTTTATTTAAGAGCAAAATATGGAACTGTTGTTATAATATAAAAGTTAATGAATAAAATTTGTTTTATTTTGCTGTCCTATTGATATTGTTAGCATTTGATGTAGCAGACGTAGTCAACAATAATGCTCCCAGATAATTTTTCCACTATGCACATCACTTCAACCTTGTTAAATTTATCTGGTGAAAGGCTTCCCCCCACCCCCCCAAAAAAGCCGTTTGTTTCATATGTCTTGTATATAGCCTATGTACAGCTGTCCCCTCCCATCAAGAAAAAAGAAACAGATATTATTTGAGGGGAGGGAACGGCTGTACACACACTACTATGCAACATTCCACCAGTTTCCTTGGTTATTTTTTTAGTCATGTCATTACCCCCGAAAAACTTCGAAAAAAACAGGTTCAGTTCTCTAAAAAGTTGTTAATTAAGTAGGTATTGTGGTGACTATTGTGATTGTGGTCTTCTTGATCGGGGGAGGGGGTGAATAAGAGGGTTCCCTACACCGCAATAGTGCTCATGAATGAGTGAGAAAACCGCATTTAAAAACCTTAATGGATCCACACCCGGTTAAGTCCCAAGAGTGACCAACATCAGTTTTCTCCTCACAATGTCAATACATTAGCAAAAGTAAAGGTTATGAGATTTAATAAAATGATCATCTCAGGGAAAATGCTTTGATCTTTTACCAAATTCCCTCAACTAATTTTTTAAGGAAATGTATGGAGGTCAGTTTGGAGAATTTGTTGGTGTATATCAGGGCTTAAAGGGTTAAATCAGGGTTAGCATACAGCCATGATCTTTGAACTTATGGCTATCACACTGTTTAATCAGTTTATTAAACAATGCGTCGTACGAAATGACAAGAAGACTTCCGGTTAGTGAGTTATTCTCATTCACATGGAAGGTATGCTGTCTGTAAAAAATGAATTGTAAAAGGTAAGGGGTAGGACTCCCCTTAAAAAAACTTTGCTGAATACACCCGGGAGTGAAGACTACTCACCTGACCGCTTAACTCCAAGAGCTTCCGTGCCTAAAATTCCTAATTGACCTAATTGTACTGCACCGTTGGTTCATCCAACTCACTTCTCTACTTCTAAGATTTAGCCACCCTACAAAGACAACTCTCCACTCAATAAGGGGTTCTGGCCTATACGGGGACCGGGAGGCTCCACCTAATAGGGGTGCCTAGTTTCAGGCGTCAGGTGTATAAATGGGTGGGGAATTTACGATGCGAAGTATATGAAAGGGAAGGAAAATCTATCATTTTAAAAAGTATTTAAAAGGGCCTTGGTTTAAACTGTTTCCAACAGACACGCCTTGTGGCCATATCATTTTAATTTATTAAATGTTACACGAAAATGGCAAAAGACTTCCTGATTTAGTCATTTATTCTTATCAAAATAGGCATGTTAAAGGGGTACCTTTTTTCAATATAGGGTGTACATAGGAGATACCATTCCTGTCAAAAAGGGGTTGGGCCTCGGGGCGAAGCCTCCCCATATAGAGCTTGTTGACTGCCCCCACCCCCCCCCCTCCCTGGAGAAATCTGCGCACAAATCTCTTCTCTCAAGGTCAATAGCGAAGCTATCTTGTTCAATTCCATCTTTACCCATCCATAGATGGTGGAGGGGACTGCATTCAACAACTCTCATAACGGACACCTCTGTAAAATGGAGACCCAAAGCTAGTCCCTACTTTCTTTACTCTACTTGTTTGAATCTCTGTAAGACGGACATCTCTCTAAGACAGACAATTGGTACCTGTCCAAAAGGTGACCGTTTTAGAGAGACAGTTGACTGTACTATGGCCCATCCAAAGTCACATCCGGTAGTGACGTAAACTATAATTAAAAATAAAATTGAGTTAAAATTACAAAACCTTATTTTAAAAAAATGTCCTTTAATTCTAGGACATCGAACGCACTCCATCTCCCATATTACCATTTTCTGCTATTTACAGTTGAAGAGCTGCAATTTCTTTAGCGGTGTACGGTACTGAACAAGAATAGAAGCTTGGATCTATTAAGCCCTTCATTTAAAAAATTTCTTGGTGCCCTGCCATAAAATTGTTTTCCTAGTTTCTTTTTTTACTTTTGACTCAAACGCAGTAAGCGCTAAATATCTGTAATAAAAATATGCTTAGCATTGAATATTGAAATCATATAGCTTACTCAAGCAGGAATAAGCAGTTTATTTTGTCATAAAAAGATTCAGAGGCTAATCGTTGGTTTACCTTTCCTTTCCTTTTTCGCAAGGTTTATAAGCATATTGACTGCTTCTGTACGTTGCTCTTCTTGACTGCAATCACATTTTACCCCGGTATTTATACTTACATGTTACTTTCTGTAAATCACGATGACATGATCCGGCATATAAGGGCGAGAAATCTCAACATGGACTCGTCACGTGAGAGGTCTGTATGGTCTATCAGTACTAACTTTTTTAAATTTTTTTTTTGACCCAGTTCCACAATGCCTCGCTGAGCTCTAGACGTGATTCAGTTCCCTGTGGTATCTCCGTTTCTTTTCAAGCACGTTCAGTGCACACTAGCCGTGACGTGATTTTTCTTTACTCTGACTTGAAGTGACCCATTGAACCTTCGATCTTGACAACGTTACCTGAATACGTTCCTTAAATGTTACGAGGATATTAAGTTTTACGTCAATTCTATGGTGAAGTCATTACATAGTGCCAGTTTACCCAAGCACAAAATGCTCCTGTAACGTAATTTTTTTTGGTGTTTTTTTTTTTTTGGAGGCATTAGCATTAAAACTTGAAAAGGTTGGCCCATCTTTTTCAAGTTCTAATTCATGTCCATCCGTGCCATTCGTTGCAAAAGACCAGCAGGAAACGGTTTCAATGCCTAAATACAGTCGTAAATAACAAAACTGGACCATTATTTTAGGAATTCAATTGGTGCGAAAAAAAGTTTTAGCTTTGTTAAAAGGTAGGAATTAAATAAATAAATAACGATTTGCAGGTAGCACATCCACATAGTAGTTCTTCGTCTACATAGCCTTTTTAAATGAATAAATAAATAATTCGACTTTGTCACGGTGGACCCACGACGTTTGCCAAAGAAAGCATGGCAACGCTTTCCGGTCCTTCACGGCAGTAGCACGACCTGATTTCACACGTGGTACAACCGCCGTGACAAAGTCGAATTTATTTCTTATACTTAACTCCATCTTTTAACTTACTCGATCATTATTCTGTTCAGCTCAGCAGCAGTTAATAACGTTTGAAACCCTTTGAAACGAGTCTTAGCCATGCCGTCAAAGAGTAAAACCGTCCACTTTGTTCGACACTTCCAATCTACCTGGAACGAAGCTGAAGACGAACACAACTTGACGCGCTTCGACAAGGGACTACAGAGCGATGCTCTCTTGGATGCGCCCTTGAGCACTTGTGGCAAAAAACAGGCGTTGACGATACAACAGAAAATTCAGGATCTCAATGCAGAAGTCGCCATCACTTCTCCTTTGAGCAGAGCAATTCATCTTTGCCGCGAGATAGGAGAATCGCTCTGTGACATTGGAACTCTGAAAGAAGACCTGGTCAAGATGTATCCAACAGTTGATTTCAGCAATGTGCCTCCCAAAGTTTGGTGGTATGTGGATGAAAAGCTTAAGGGTCAACTAACAGATCCAATAAAATGCTATGAATTTGTTTTAAACAATGGAACATGCAAGTTGGGAGAAACCTTCAAAGGAAGTCATTTTCAGGAAAGAATGGAGCGATTCCACGATTTTCTTCAAAACCGACCTGAATCAAATATTGTAGTTTTCGCACACAGTGGGTTTCTAAGAAGCTTCCTTGAAAAATATTATGGGAGACCATTTGAACAGTACTATCCAAATGGAGAGATTTTGACATACTCTTTGTAACAATGTCACTTAAGGTTAAAGAATTCTCTCAACATTTTTAATATACGTAAGTTTTTATGTCTCCTTTTTCTCAACGCTATTTATAAAGTACCAGGTAAAGGACTTGTGTAGATTTTGTCTTGTTTATTATAAGCTGATTTTCGTTTTAGCTCTCGTTGCGGTTTATCGCGGATTGATAATCATGGCGTTTTTAAAAAGTTACTTGTTCAAAAACTTAACATAAAATTAAGCGACCTGGTGAGATACTGTTGTCAAGATTCGTA